AGTGTCAGTCAGTCAGTGTCAGTGTCAGTCAGTCAGTGAGTCAGTGTCAGTCAGTCAGTGTCAGTCAGTCTCAGTGCCAGTCTCAGTGCCAGTCTCAGTGCCAGTCTCAGTGCCAGTCTCAGTGCCAGTCTCAGTGTCAGTGTCAGTCTCAGTGCCAGTCAGTCTGTCTGTCTGTCAGTCTGTCTGTCAGTGTGTCAGTCTGTCTGCCTGCCTGCGTCAGTCAGTCTGTGTCTGTCAGTCTGTGTCTGTCAGTCTGTGTCTGTCAGTCTGTGTCTGTCAGTCTGTGTCTGTCAGTCTGTGTCTGTCAGTCTGTGTCAGTCTGTCTGTGTCAGTGTCAGTCTGTGTCAGTGTCAGTCTGTGTCAGTGTCAGTCTGTGTCAGTGTCAGTCTGTGTCAGTGTCAGTCTGTCTGTCTGTGTCTGTCAGTCTGTGTCAGTGATAGAAGTGACAGCTCAGGGAGTTACCTTGAATGCCCCTCTCTTCGCTTTACAGATGGGGGTCCTCCTGCCATGTACTAACACTACATCGTGCGCGGTGTCCCCGGGGGCGGCGGTGCTCTCTGCTCTCAGTCCGCGGTGGGTGGCCGCCGGTAGGTGACCCAGTACTACCCTCACTCTGTGCATGTTCTCCCAGCGACTGAGCTCACAGCGCGCGGCACCTGCAATACCTCGGCATCACGTGACACTGCAAGCACCAATCACCAATCACCGCCACTCAGCAAGGCTTCCGGGTCCGCCCTCCGGTTACCCTGACAACCGAGTGAGGGGCTCTGTCCGCCATCTTACTGGAGGCAAATAATCCGACCTGTGATGGGAGTGGGGGGCTCTGTCCGCCATCTTACTAGAGGCAATTCCCGACCTGTGATGGGAGTGGGATGCTCTGTCCGCCATCTTACTAGAGGCAATTCCCGACCTGTGATGGGAGTGGGGGGCTCTGTCCGCCATCTTACTAGAGGCAATTCCCGACCTGTGATGGGAGTGGGATGCTCTGTCCGCCATCTTACTAGAGGCAATTCCCGACCTGTGATGGGAGTGGGATGCTCTGTCCGCCATCTTACTAGAGGCAATTCCCGACCTGTGATGGGAGTGAGGGTCTCTGTCCGCCATCTTACTAGAGGAAACGTATCGCGCTGTTATAGGGTGGATGAGGCTCTTTGCTCGCCATCTTTATTATTATTATTATTATCGCCATTTATATAGCGCCAACAGATTCCTTAGCGCTTTGTAGAGTCAGATTTCAGTTCAGTACCTCCCAAGTGTCTCTATTTAGGAGGCACAGTCTCTATTTTTAGAGATCCCTCTGTCCCTCTTTTCTAGGCGCTCCATATTGTTGGTGTGTCTGAGATCACCCCCGGGTTAGCCGCCCCCCCCAATTAAGAATTTTACCAAAATATCATTCCAAGTGTTAGATCAACATTGTTTTTTTTTCATTAGCTCTATTCTAAAATATGCGATATTAATAAACTTTTTTAGGGGGGCTATCCCGTAGCCAGCACCCCCTTAAGAAGAATTTGGACAAAATGTTATTGATTATGATAGCTCCGCGTTAGATTAGCCAAAATTGTTGTTAGATCTCGTCTAATTACTGAGAGATTGTGTATGTAATTAGAAGGGGCTGGACCCCCCTCAACTGAAAATTGGACAAAATGTTATCGATTTTGGTAGATATTCATTCAGGTTTGATCAATTGTTTTCCGTTTGTTCTATCACGGAAGAGGCGGTATTCACTACTCAGCTTCGTGTGTCTTACTACTGGTTAGCCAACCCCTCAACTCAAATTTAGAATTTTTGGGTAGACATTTGTTAGGCAAGGTAAGATCAACTGTTTTTTTTTTTTTTATTGGATCTATCATGCATGGTAATGCATGGCAATGCTCCGACCTGCCTGCTCGCGGGAGGAACAATCTACCTGCTGGGTCCTTTCCTCCCTCTCTCCTCGCAAAGTGGGCGGTGAGGGAGATCTTTGCGTGATGGATCAAATGGAAAAAAAACAGCTGATCTTAACAGATTTAACGAATATCTACCAAAATCAATAACATAAATCTAAATTTCAGTCAAGGGAGGCTAAACTGTAGTCATGCCCACAAAGTCATGTACTGAATATCTTGCTTGATGGATCAAATAAAAAATAAAAAAATAGTTGATCTTACCTGATTTAACGAACATCTACCAAAATCAATAACAAAAATCCAAATTTCAGTTGCGGGGGGTTAACTTGTACCCACCCCTCCCCTGCACACAAGTAGGAATACCGCCTTTTGCTTTATAGATTTTAAAAAAAAAGTTGATCAAACCCATTTAACGAAAATCTACCAAAATCGGTAATATTTTGTCCAAATTTAATTTGAGGGGGGGACATCCCCACCTAATTAAGTATGCAATATCTCAGTAATTAGACTACATCTAACATCAATTGTGGCTGATCGAATGCGGAGCTATCATAATCAATAACATTTTGTCCAAAGGGCTGCTACAAGTTAGCCCCTTTGACAAAGATTGTTAATATTGCATATTTTAGAGGAGATTTAATGAAAAAAATTGTTGATCTATCCTGATCTAACAAAACTCTAACCTATGAAATGATCTTTTGTTAAAATTCTTAATATGGGGGCTAATCCGGGGGTGGTATGTCTCAGTGTATAACAGAGCACGACAGTAATGTGTAAAGGGTTATTCCAACCGTACTTTTTTTCTTTACATCCCTAGTGAGTTGGTATTTTCACTGTGCCCAGTCTTACACGTGAGTTTACAGAGGAAGAGGTTCTATTTCAACTGTCAAAAGTAAAGACAAATAAGTCAATGGGACCTGGTGGAATACACCCAAAGCTATTAAAAGAGCTTAGTGGTGTACTAGCAAAACCATTAACAGATTTATTTAACCAATCATTGTTAGCAGGAGTAGTCCCAGAAGATTGGAAGTTAGTGAATGTTGTGCCCATTCACAAGAAAGGTAGTAGGGAGGAGTCGGGCAACTATAGGCCAGTAAACCTTACTTCA